ACACACACACACACACACACACAGGCAACCTCTCGTCAGTGTGCGTTTTCTGCATTGCATAGCTGCAAAAAACACATAAAAATTGATTTTTAGTTATTACAGTAGATCGCAAACAAAATATTCTTTTTCTACTTCGCTTTTTTTGCAAATTTAGGAATCAAGTCCTTTGACATTATCGAAGTTGCCTTTCAAACAATTGTACAAATGCCACTTTAGCACAATTTCGCGCGAGTAACCTTTTCTGCTTTGCAAAAATTCTGACTGCTTCATTGTCGGCCAGTGCAACCACCTCACTTTTAGAGAACAGACCAGGATTGCTCGGTCCATATCAATTCATTTTCAGGAATTCTTCGCATTTTCCGGTAGCACCTGAATGGTGAAATGCATTGTTCGGTGCGCGTCCTTAACAAATTTCTGCGGCACGTTTCCATTTCCCGCACGACCTGGAATCGAGCAAATCATAATTAAGATAATTTTTTTAAAGACTATGCTCACTTTTTCTTCCTTTTCTTCCAGTACTGACGACTTGTGTGAACTTTTATAAATGCGTACTTTTGTACTTTTATCGTTTAGAATCAAAATTTTACGGAAAATTAGAGATAGGACCTTTCTCTCTCACTCACTCCGAAACCTAGACCTACAATTCAACGCCAGTATCCGGCAGAACTAGAAGGACTCACGAGCATCCTACGTTGATTACTGATCCGAACACGAATCCATTACTTGCTACGTCTGACCGTGGCTCATTGGAATGCTGTTCAGTAGCAACTTTAATCTGCAGTCATTCAAAACCACTGAGCTATATCCGGCTGGCTTATCACTTCTCATCATATCATTTTATATCACAAGGGGTCTCGAGACATAAGGCGGGACATTTGCATATCACATGGGAGCGAAAGGCGGTTGGGATAAAGGTAAGGGGTCAACCGTCCTCAATCCTTTCTCATTTCTGCCACTTATTTTTGCAACAAAAAATCTGTGCCTGAATGAACAATCACTCTGGTCCGAAAAAACGTGGTACAAGTAAATAAAATTATGGGCTAATTATCAATACAAGTAAATAAAATTATGGGCTAATTATCAAAAATAACACGACTACTCGAAAAATAAGTGTGAGATCCTATATGAGTGATATTATTGGCATACTTCCACACGCCGGGACGATGACACCAAGCCTTTGCAATTCTGAATTGCAACCTCTATTTCTTTTTCTGGTGCTAACTGGTACATGTCTGATATATCAAAGCAGCAAAAAAGGAACTAACTTGTTGCCCTCGATTTGGCCAGTTCTTAGAACGCAGAATTTCAGTGCCCAGAACATTTGGAACTGTTTTTAGTCGCTTGCGCCACGATTTGTTGCACGGTTCGATAAATTTTTCAAAAACATTTGAATGAAACACGTTGTATGGTGCCCAGTTGCGGTCTTCTACTTCTACCCTTCTGGAATTATCAGATTAGCAGGTCATCCACAAATGTAAAACTAAAAAGGGAAGCCTACGTAAGCCAGACGTACATGGATGTTAATCTCTATTCCTCCGTGTCACCGTGTGGTGGGAAGATTCTCTTAAAATTTCAGCTTTCTGGATTTTCAGTTTGGAAGTAGGCTACAAAATCCGAACAAATACACACACACACACACATACACACACAAACCAACCAGCAACCTGATAACATCACATCATTTTGCGTTTTTACATCCACATAAATATGAAAAGCACACAAGAAGAATGTAAAAGCTACCTTAAATGATACAGCAGACCTTTTTGTTTAGAAACAACAACAGCTGTGAAATTTTCAGACTCATAATTTAGAACCAAATGTATCTGCACCGCACGTACTTTTTCCGGCAAGAATACCACCTAAAATAAACACTGAAAAATAACTTAGTTCTTGTGTACACCGTTGAATCACGTTTTTACTAGTGTAAACTGCAGGGTCGATGTGTGGGTTATTGCTTTCGCGGAACGAAAATTCCAGTCTCGTATCCTCGAGTTTCCGTCGGAAGTTTTACACCGTAACTTCCATTTACAACGATGAAGCAGCTCTCACTTTCTCACAAAAGGCCTATCACTCAGTGACTAATTATTGGTTGAAAAAGTACAAGTGTAGAATACTGTTATACCTTGCTACGTTCATCACGCTGGTAGACGCATTTTTGCACCGAAACATTGCTTAGAGCGTTAAAATTAAATTCTTCTGCATTTGTAATCTCATCCCATTGATTCTGAAATTCAAAATTCTTGAATTTTGGCAATCAAAATAAAATCCTAGTGCTGGATTGCTAAATTTGAACTGCCTGACCGTAAAAAAAAAGACGGTTACTATTCGACACTTAGCAGCTCTGCGTCTCACAAATAGAAGTATGAAACAAGATCTAACTTATTTCAGAATTTCGTAAGTGCCAATATGTTCCGCAAAAAGTAAGCAAGCTTAACTGAGCTTCCTTTTGATTAGCTTGTGTTTTTTTTCTATCAGCGTTTATTTCTAGAGCAAAAAAGGCAACCATTTGCTTTAAATGATTTATTATGAAGTCTTATTAGAGGGTTATGCTTCTGAGATAGAAGTTTTGTAAGTTGAAATGTCCTACCCGGTAGTTAACAAAACGATTTAGAAACTGGAAAGTGGCAGCATTTTTAGTTTCAGCACTCAGCTCGTTCAGAAAACTCAAAAGAGAGGGTTGCTGATTTGAGACAATAATTTCATCCAAATCCACTGCAAGCACATACTTCGTATGGCCACGGCTCCGCAACGCACAGTCATTTACAGCTGATATGACCTAAAAGCAACAATTGATGATGATTTCTCCAGGAGGAAAAAAGAACGCCAAAATCGCTAACGGACTGACCATCGAGCGATACAGTGTTGGTCCAGAGCATTTGGAAAAGTTGCCAACCGCGCAGTTTTACCAAACTATATGTTGCAAATGATCAAAGTATTAAACTATTATGATGTGAAAAACTACTTGTTCTTTGAAGTTGGTGCATTGTTCAGGCAAGAGTTGTAACCAGAATTTTTCCAAATACCAGTCAGATCGCTTTTTGCCTGCCTGAGTTTCTCCTGTTTCATATTTCTACTTAGCTCAACGTTTTCTATCTGTAGCTTAACTATCACCTCAAGTCTCCACGTTCGATGATTCGGATCGTTTTCTGTTTTAGAATAGTAATCGCCTTCTGTTGGGAAAGCAGACCATGGAACGCGCTCCACGTCGATGGTGCTATCGTTTTCATAGACACGCAAAAGAGCGTCAACTTCAGGCGCAAGCGACTGAATGTATACATAGAATTTGGTAACACCCTGGACGATCCATATCTGAAGAAGCATTGCTGATGCCTTGCATGTAAAACATTCGCCCACCGAAAAGAAACAGATATAATATCCCCATCCTCTTTTTTTCATTATTACTATTTGCTTTTCGTGCTACGCATTTTTGGGTTCGTTTTTTATCATTTATTGACAAAGATGTTATGCAAGCTGAGTGCAAGTTTGAGAATGTCTGAAAGGTTTGGAGTTGACCAAACGCACTCAACCAACGAATGGCCAGCGTAGTGCTCACTCTGGGATGCAACTCTGACAGCTACAGCTTCTATTATTATTGTATCTTTTGGGCAAGCAAATATTTGGAGCTGTCGTGGTAAATGATCAGCCGCTCCAACAAGGAGCATGTTAGTTCTGAGATGCAGGTTCAATAATTCAGCAGTGTTTACGGCACAATGAGCACAAACAGGAATTAACGAATCATTGGAACCGTTACTTTTCAACTGTGCGATTGCTGAAGAAATGCGGGTTGTGTTCATTTTGAAAGAAGCAGAAGCGTCACACAAAGTTTGAAAAAGCGTACCTCGAAGAACTGCACAACAAGCGTCCAATCGGCTTGATAAAATAGCGGCTGAATGCAAATGGCCAACTGATGCTTCCTCTCGATGTTTGCGGTCACTCTGGCATCTTGTAGCTTGATG